GTTACCAAGATATATGCCAATAGCAAGCAATCAAATATAAATTAAGCACCATATTATGCTAGTTAACCCTTGTGAGACAAGGACAAAGATTAACAGTTAGTTAATGAAAAAAAAAAACACTTTGCTTGTGATTCCTTTACAAGCTTATGGTTTTCCATCAATCAATAACAGCTTCTGTTCACTCAGAAGCTAGCAAATCCCCTTTAGCTTCTCAAGGGCATTACAGAAAGCACTGCTCAGCCCAGCAATGTTCTCAGAACTTTTCAGGAGGACATACACATCATTTTATTGTTCAATGACATGCTCAGAAGCTTTGTACAAACCTCTCGACACATATGTACAAAAATGCCCTGACCAAAAGTGGGAAGGCCCATAATGATGTGCAATTAATTTCTTCCACATAAACCGCTCAGATATCATTGGTGCTGTTCAGATTAGATCAAGAAGAGGATTATTTGCAAAGCACTAAGCATGCACTTAACGTTAAACATGTGGGTAGCCGCCTTGAAGTCGATGACATAGGAAAGTGATAGGCAATTTTACTTAATGTCATGATCCAATAAAGCATGAGCTTAACTGTAAACACTTTAATCAATGATTTCGGTGCGAGTGTGCATGTGCTTAAAGTATTTGCAAAAGTGCTTTGTTGGACTGGAGCCTTAGAGAAGATGGCATTTTCTATAGCTTCAGCTTCCAAATTCAGCTTCAGGTTAGTGTCAGAGGGAAATTGGGCCTTACAATGCCCCTCCATAATGTAGGTCAATTGAGTGATTGCAAATATTCATGGGTGACAGAAAACATCTCCTTCCTACTATGCTCATATTTATCTTCATCTGAACTTCTCAGCTGTCTGGGGGATAAACTGACAGATCATCTTTGATTTTTTAAAATAACCACATCACTTTCCCAAATATTATGTACAATCAATAATTAGTTTAAAAAAAACTCACATTGATAATGCCTTCATCTGTCCATTGAAAGCAACCACTGTTCTGACAGCAGTCAAAATTTCTTCTGCCACAGCTCCTGCTCTAGCATATGCAATCAGCTCTTTTGTAGTGAATGATGCCAGGCACTGCAAAATTGGGAGGGTTGGGGGAATGGGAAAGTATTTTATTGAAATCTATTTAAGTGGTGTAAATTATGTACTGATACAAAGGGTGATCAAGCAGTTAGGGAACGAGCCTAGAATTTAGGAGATCTGGGTTCAAGTCCCCACTCCAACAGAGTTTTCCTGGGCAACTTCGGGTAAAGTAACTTCTCTCCATGTTTCATTTCTCCATGTGTAAAATGGGAATCCCCTATCTTGCATGGTGTTGTGAGGCTAAACACGATGAAACGTGTGTGGCACTCAAACTATAGTAATGGAGGCCATGTAAGTAACTTAGCTATCTTAATTATAGGTCACAATCCTGTTTCTTCTTCCACCATTTTCAGTGTTTGGGTGGTGGGGTGGGGGGAAGGGGGGGGGAACAAAATACAACCTATAAGTGGAAACACTTTGTACATTTTTCTGTGCATTACAAGCAATATCTACCAATGTGGGCACAGCTGATGAATACTGATCATCCTCTTCCCATGTGGTGAGTGGTGGTGACTGGAAGCAGTCCAGGCCTCCAAGGTATGCCAATGCCTGCCTGCTGATGCTCAGTGTAGACAGAGCTCTGCAAATTTTGGGGCAGGAGCCAGTGGAGTAGGAGAAGGGCTGCTCTCCATGCTCTCCATACTTTGGGGTCATGTTGCTTTGGGGTTCACTCTCTCTCGATCTGTTTTTAGAGGTAGAATTCTTATTTGTTTTTCCCCAGCACTTACGATTGATCCAACTGCTGCTGCTGCAGCAAGGAGAGGGCTAACTGACAAAATCACCAAAGTCAGTTTCCACCCGTAGACGAATCCTATAACAATCCCTGTCAGAAACGTGGCAAAGAATTGTACAAATATACAGATCTTGTCTCCGAGGCCTTCGTTGATGGTGTTAATGTCACTGTTAATTAAAAAAGAGATTTATTAACTTTGATGAATGCCTCCTCCTCACACATTTTTTCTGTTTTGCTGGAGAGAAGCTTGTCAGAAGTTTAACTGTTCAAATCATTGGGCAGTAGGAATTTTGGACATGAGTACTGAACGGCAGTAATGGCTTTTCGTGGGGCTAGGAACTAGCAGATCACAACTCATTTTCTGTGATGTAACCTCTAGATAGACTTCTGCCATTGCTACCCCTGCTCATTCACACGTGACCCAATTCATTTATGCAATATCCAAAAGGAATAATCCATACAAAAACAAAAATTCACACCCAAAACCTTTACATTACTTTTTCCTCAAAGTTCCCCTATGTATCCTATCTTCTTCAATTTTGTTATTAGATTTTAAGATCTTTGAGGCAAGGAATATCTCCATTTTGCATCCTATACAGTGACAAGCACAGTGTTAGTAAATTATTATTTGAAAAACCATGGTGTGTCACACTAATTTTCTCTTGCTAGTTACATATGTGGGAGCTAGAATTGGTGAAATTCAAGCCTCTCTCATTCCCTTCAGGATTCACATCTTCCAAAAACTGGGCATATCCCTCCCTGCAAAAACTTAAATCTGGAGAAACTCTTCATACCCTGATCATACCTTCCTCTGAATCCCTGCATAAGGGACCTGATCCAAAGATTCCTAATGATTTTAATTGGTTTTGGATCAGGTTCAAAATGATAACAAAGTGTCCATAACTATGAGTGCAGTTTCATTTCATACAGTGTCAGGGGTTTCAGTGTTTGTAAACTAGCTGGAGACAGCAGAGCTGTTTATCTACAGTAGTTTGCAAAATAGCTCAGACACTACAAAGCCAATGTCAGAGGAGTAAGATATTGCATTTCGAGGATAAGTCCTCGCAATGGAAATGTCACTGAAACTCTGAAAATGAAGTGAAAAATGATAACGAATTCCTCCCTCAGACAGCAGTAATATTTTGGGTCTTAGTTAAAAAGGTTTCCTGGAAAATCCCTGTAGCTAATCATATAAAGGTAAACATCAGACTTCTATTTGGCTCATGTCCTGATGCATAGATAAATAGAGCCTTCTCACGCCGTCAGTCGGGTGTTCAACGTTCCAATCTGGCTGGTATCAAACCAAGCCATCTCCTGGTGGAGTAGTGCGAAAAAAAAATTTTGGCGGATTCCTG